GCAGTCAGTCTCATGACCGGATCTGGGGTCCCATACATCTTTTGACCTTCAGTTGCTTCTGGAACGAGACAGAGTAACTATGATCTAAAACAAGGACCAGACACAGTCTTTTACATAAGGAGAAGGAAAATTACGAAGCGAATCTTTTTAGATGGTTCACGGCGGTGTGGTTTCAGTTGTTCGTAGCTTGTCCGTGGAACACGGGGACAAGACCTAACATAGACACCATTCATAAACTTATTACCACCTTTAATGTAAATGTGCCTCCTCCAGCCTGCAGATCAATGCAACTAACGGTATATAATGGGATGAAAAGAGTTTAAAAATATCGGATTCGCTTTCCGCTGCCACCATAGCGTAGAAGAAGATATAAAATGGCGCTGAATCCATGTAATCCAAGGGATTGAGCCTAAGCTTAGCACAAAGACCAGCCTACGGGGGCAGAAAACTGTGAAATGGAAGAACTGGAGAAATCACAGCTAAATGAACAAGGAACGAGACAATGATGAAGAAAAGAGGTAACAATTGTCAAGGCATCGTAGGTGGATTTGAGATTTAGGAATGATGTTGATGGCAGTTTCGTGATTTGGTTGTCTCCATTCTCGCCACTATTGCCCTCATCATTACTCTGAGTCCACAATCTTAAACCACCATCGTCGACGCGAACGCTTACTTGCACCGCAACATCTTTTCCCCCTCGCCCTGTGGGCTGGTCTTTGGGCCAAGCTCAGGCGTACAAGGACTAGACGAACATTAGTGACCGTCAGACATCAGGTGGTCACATAATTGAAGTATTACAGTGATTATTGCAGCTCCCCGTCCTTTTTGTTTGTCCTCATGGGAAAGGGCAGATATAGCTGTAATACCTCGTTTACTTGACTATCTGTATAACATGCGGTCATTTTAACACTTGCCTTGTTCTCGCACTCGTAGTCTGACCTTCGGGCCAAGCAGGAGAAAGGGCACTCAGTTAATCAGAATATTACCACTCATGTTAAGTTTGCTTTGCAGTATCATCAGGTCTGCTTTCAGATTACAGTCTGGAGCCACTGGCCCGGAATACCATAAACTTATCCTGGACTGACATAGTCCAAAGGCAAAGACTCAGATCAAATGCACAAATTGTCATGAACAAAAAGTTTTACGTGTTCTAACACGGCATTTGTATGGTGTATACTAAGGAGTTAGCTGTCATACCTTGTTTGTGGGATCACCTTTATGTCTGGCCTCTGATTTGGTATTCCTTTGGCTCTTATACTCGTGGGCTGGCCTTTGGGCCAACGCCCAATTCCTTCTCATCTTCTTAGAGTACATGCATTCAGCCCAACTTAGTGCCTTCTACATAGTGGGAATTTGTGGAGCACTGCATTAGCTAATCTAATTGGGCCAAAGTCTTATGGTTTATAGAAGAAATGATTTTGCCAGTAAATGGTACACCATTCTAGGACGTAACGCAAAGTAGAAGAAGGCTTGATGTGTGTGTTCAAGGCGAAAAGAAAGAGATTGGCCTTTAACTTTACCTATAAACCAGCCCATGCCTATTAGATCAAAATGAAATACCAAAGCACCAACCAGACATGCAGATAGTGGCATAAACAAGGTAGTAGACATGTTACTTAAAGGAGCTTTGGGGTTGCTGCCCTAATATACAGTTTATTTAACCAAATGTGTGAATGGCGGTAACTTTAGCAAACATCTTATTTTTGCCGCTCAAATTTTGCCCTCGAAAAGAGCATTGCAGAACTCGCCTGCCTACCCTCATACCCTTGAATCTCAGACTTTAAGAGAGGGTGAGTTACAGTAGCTTTATTAGGCATTGTATACACAAAGAACAGAAGTAGAGAGTATAAATGAGGCGGAAAAGGAAAAGGAAAAGGAATTTTCACGATCTTCATGCACCGAATTGAATTCTCGCCTCTGGTCTATGAGGGCAAGCTTAAAAACTCTAGTACATATTATTATAGCTCTAAAAAAACCATTAATAAGTCATTAATTTACAATTATGCTTACGGCGCTGTAACATATACTAATGCGCTTAAGTTGCCCTAACAGCGGAGGGACGACAAAGCAATTCGGACACAAACGCGTTTCGCGAGGAACACGAAGGGGCCTGCGAGGTGACGATGGCTTATCGTCTCATCGATATCCTCCTTTGATTCTTCTGTACTGGAAATATACATTGCTTTGGGCAGAATACATGTATTCTTGGAGGGAAAAATATATGGGTCGTTGGCTTGGTCCGAAGGCCGGACCACGAGGACATGGGCCGGGAGTGCAATCCTTTGTTTACGTAATTACATGACGTTTGGCGGTCACTTTAGGATTTGTCTCGTCCTTGTACACGTGGACAAGCCTTCGAACCATGCCCAGGTCCAAATGCCCTGCCGTCTTCGGAATACACGTATCCAGCTGCACTTACCGATACCTTATACCGGCTAGGAAACAGACATCACAAAAAGCAAATTATTACAAGCAAAACTAGAGCACACAAAGCACAAGATTTTGCCACGCCTGGTTTATCAAAGAAGCTAAGACTATGCTATAACGCTATTCCGGTTTCAAATGTATCTTGCAAGTGGGGATCAGAAAGAATTCATGTGATTCTAGCAAATTGAATAATGGGTCTGTATCCTCAATATTTGATTAAAAAGAGGAAAATAGGTCACACAACTGTGATTAGATTGCAAATGATTTTTTACCGGCGGAGATCCAGTGATGAGGAATTGATTTAGAGGTCCGCATTCAATTATTTGATCAGTTATTGGATCTATGCGCACAATTTTTCAATAAGTGTTTGATTTCGCAAAAAAGAAGTACAGCTTTTAGGATTTATAAGCCTTGAATTATTTTTCAGCATCTAACCTATTGTGTTTTAATCGATCGATTGGGTAATATAGAGTCTCCCCATTTGTGGAACCTTTCAAACTATTCCTTCGCAATGTTTGCTGAAAGAGGACGCGAAGAAGAAGATTACGATTATTTAATTAAACTGCTAGCATTAGGTCGGGTTGCACGCTTAAATTAGGTCCTTTTTAAAGTTCTTGGATTTTATCATCTTACAATTAAATAGCCTAAGGTTGTTTACTTTCTCAAGCTCACGATACTGTTTTTCTTTGCTGCAATTGCCTTTGGATAAAGTTGTCTGGGTTTCCTCTTTCGCGATTTTAGTTGCGGTTTCTTGAGACTTTGGTGTTTTTTATTGCTAGGTGATAGTAATGTCGGAAAAACAAGCCTTCTGTATCAATACACCGATGGCGTTTTCAACGTCGACATGAACGCGACAGTAGGTGTGGATTTTAGACAAAAACGCGTTATACGTGAAAATAAACAGGATGCCAATGGACTTTTGGGCCAGAAACAACGACTTTATTTGCAGCTTTGGGATACTGCTGGTCAGGAAAGGTTCGTTTTCATTTTTGATTGAATTATGTGAAAAAATTCAGTCTCTATTTGTTTCTGCCAATTTATTGGTTGGTTTTTGAACTAAAAGTGATACTTTTTGTAGTATTTGATTATTTACCAACTCACCCGGTGCAATTAGTTCATTGGTTTCAATACGTAATTGTGCCGTCTTGGGTGTGCCAGTTTTTGCCGTTCCATTTTATTGCTTGGGTATAAAAGTAAAGTCGTCG